GTGGGGAGAGAGTGGGGAGAGAGTGGGGAGAGAGTGGGGAGAGAGTGGGGAGAGAGTGGGGAGAGAGTGGGGAGAGAGTGGGGGAGAGAGTGGGGAGAGTGGGGGAGAGAGTGGGGAGAGATCGGGGAGAGATCGGGGGGGAGATCGGGGAGGATCGGGGAGATCGGGGAGAGATCGGGGAGGGAGAGATCGGGGAGAGAACGGGGAGAGAACGGGGAGAGATCGGGGAGTGATCGGGGAGAGAATGGGGAGAGAGTGGGGAGAGAACGGGGAGAGAACGGGGAGAGAATGGGGAGTGAATGGGGAGTGAATGGGAAGAGAATGGGGAGAGAGTGGGGAGAGAGTGGGGAGAGAACGGGGAGAGAATGGGGAGAGAATGGGGAGTGAATGGGAAGAGAATGGGGGAGAGAGTGGGGAGATATTGGGGAGAGAACGGGGAGAGAATGGAGAGAGCATGAACAGAGGACGAGAAGAGAGCAGCAGCTCGTAACACAACTGCCACCTGAGAAATCACCTGAGAGGGCGAGGCAATGCTGGAGGCCCACAGAGACGGATGTGATGGTGACCCAGTGGGGAAACAATGGGAGGAGGGGAGGGCAGGCATCAGCAGAATCGGAATGTCCGCTTCTGGGGGAGGCTTGTTTCGTGGGGCTGACTGCGGGGCTGTGCTGTGCTGCTGCTGCTGCTGCTGGAGTGTTGTTCAATGCACAACAAGCAGGTTGGTGTGCAGGGGAAGTAGGAGCAATGTTCCACTGCAGGAGTCGTCCCGATGCTGCAGATAGCAGGGCGAAAGATATGGAGAGAGGGTGGGGAGGGAAGAGTGAGAGGGCGGGGTGGGCCTTTGATTCAACTCGATGGTCCTTATCTTGAAACCGTACTAATTAAATGAAGACGAACAGCAAACCTATTAACAGTGACACCGTACAAGCCATTGCATGTGCTCGAGTGAAATGGCTACCCAACATGAAATGAAACGGCTATGCAACTTGGCTTCGCAACATGATACACGTGAAACACGAAACACCTGTGCAACGTGAAACGCCACATGACTACACCACAGCACAACGCACATGCTGCCTCTCGCCCTGATCCCACTCACCAGAAACGAAGGCCGCAGTGTCTTGTGAGCACTCGCCACCTGTCACACGCTCATTCGCTGGCTGCCTATCCCAGCGAACAGCACAAAGACGGGTCATGTGTCTCGCTGCTCCTGCCAACTCCTCCTCCCATTCCTGACCCTCCCCTTCCTGCCTGATGGACCTTTCATCAGCATCATCCACTCTTCCTTCACTGTAACTTGACCGATTCGTGTGCTGCTCCTGCTCCTGCTGCTTCTTTACCTGCTGCTCCCTCTCTTGCTTCTCCCTCCCCTGTTGCTCGTTGCTGTGCTCGCGCTTCTCTTTGCCTGTTTCTTCAGGCGATGGCTGCTTCTTTCCTCGCTCCTCACTCACCTGCCATACAATACCATTGTCTGGAGGTACTATGTCATGCCATGCCATGTCAGCTGGAAAATATGCCATGTCAATCGACCACCATGCCATGCCAGCTGGCTACCGTGCCATGTCAGCCGGACAACATGACATGCCAGCCGGAAACCATGGCACGCACATCTTCGCTCTTAGATTGGTTTTTTATTTGATTCGTGAATTGACGCCAGAGAATCTGGCTACACTACAAGCATTTTTGCACGAATCCTGGAAACTCGCTACAAGAATCCGTGACTCAGAGTCAGAATCGCTCGTAGCGCAGACAAGCCCAAAGCCAATGCTATCCCGCAGCTTACCATCTCCAGCCAATGCTGTACCGCAACCTCTGCCTGCTAGAAACCGCCACATGGGTTGCTCGCATTCGCCGTTCTCACCCTGCGCTTTGATCTCAACGAAGCTTGAAACCACACACGCGTTAAGGGACATCTCGTTAAGAGCACTACTGGAACCCAGAAACCGGTCCCGATCGTGTTCGTTAGGGACAATCTCGTCATTATCCGCGTTAGTGATTGACTTGTTTGGCGACTGTGAGGCGAGAAATCCGGCGAAGAACAAACGCGGAGAGGAGCGGCTGGAAGCCTGTCTCTGACAACGCATGACTGGGGTCAACCGGGTTAACCGCAAGTGCTGCTACGCACTAGCCGAGTTCTAAATTTTGAGGCGCCTCAACAGCTGCGACACGAGTTAACAGACCCGTGCAACACTTGGCCTAACCCTTCGTGAGACGTCAGCAGCAAACTTTACAGAAAGAGGAGTGAGCACTGATGGTTCTTGGCTCTCTGCTGGTTGGCGATTGCTGAATTTGAATCCGCTGGCCCAGCTGCTGGTTGTTGAATCCATAGCTGGCTGGGGGATGAATTCAGAAAAGGGAAACTATATCCTAGATCCTTACTTTCAGATTTCTCTCATATTTACCCCCAGGTTTACTCGAAAGGTCCCACTTTCTGGGATTTGGCTCACGCGAGGCCCAAATTATGTTCAAAACTGGTCCTGTAGGGCTCAAATATTGACACGTGTCTATTTCACACCAACAATTTTTGACGGGGCACATAAACAATAATATCCCTGGGGAAACCAGGACACTTGTTCGGGAGGGATCAACCCTAAACACGGGAATTCGCCCGGTGTTTAGAATTGATCCCTCCCGAAATGTATCCCGCGGGCAAAAATTAAACCCCTTGGCTTACGGCATGCCATTCGGGAGCATCAACCCTAAAATTTTAGGGTTGAGGCTCCCTCGGATGGCATCCCATCCGAGAGGGTTTTATTTTTTTTCTTGCCCGCGGTCAGCTTGCTGACTCGATTGCACTGCCTGCTTACGCAGGCAGTGCAATATATTACCCAAATTGTGTCCCGTTTCCCCAGGGGTATTATGTTTGGTTTGCCCCGTATAAAAAACCTTGCACGAAATCGACACGTGTCGTAATTTCTGCCCCGCAGGACCAGTTTTGAACATACTTTGGGCCTCGCGTGAGCAGAATTCCGCAAAGCTGGACTTTTTGGGTAAACTCGGGATCAAAATTGAGATATTTTTGAAACTGTGGAGCTGCGATGTACTTTCCCTTCAGAAAATGCTTCTTGCATAGTAGACGTAGTGTGTGTGCGGAAGGCACGGGAAATTGGCCTCTCCACCGTAGTGCAACACAATGGACCGTACCAAAGCGCGGCTATTCCAGTATTCTCGAGATAACCAGTACGCCAGCGGTCGAAAATAGTTGTGAAACATTGTCATTGAAGTATTTGACATAAGCTTCTAGCGATAAAAATAAGGAATATTCTAAAACATAAAAAATAAGGAACTTGCTGCATGCAGTACAAGCTAAAAAGGCGATCACAAATGAAAACAGATCGAAGGACCAGTAACCTTAAAACAAAAACAATTATTCTCTACTCTATTTGCAGGTGCCCTCCATAGCACTAAGGGCACCTGGATAATCAATCAGCACCACACCACGCACGTTCCACTTCACTCCACCATACCTCCACATATCCGCTTCCTCCGCTTTCTTCTGCCTCCCTCCACTTCTAGCTTCTGACATTGGCATCCGCGCTCACAACAGATGAGGGGTACGTGGCGCCATTGCCATTGTCAGAAGGCGCGGCAACAGGCTGGGATCCCGAGGCAGGCAAGGAACGGTTGGATGGGGAGGCAGAGATGCTCTGGCCGGCGGGGCGGTCGCGCTTCTTGAGAGCGCGCTGCTTGGCGGGGTCCACCTTGGGCGGCACAGTGAAGCCGCCCATCTGCCGGAACTTGTTCACGCGCTCACAGATGATTCGCTGCTCGTCCTTCTGCACAAGGTCCTGCTTGGGGTAAGGTTAATGGGAGGGAACGAAAAGGCAATACACGGATGGACCAAATATGGGGCAAGGATGGATTTGGAGGATAAAGGCTCTTCCTTCTGCAACAGATCCTGCTGGAGGTGAGGAAACAAACAACAACACACAGCACAAGTGCAGAAAAATGAGCGCAGCAGGAATTAGAGGACAGATCGTCCTTCTGTACTAGGAATGAGTTGCAAGAAGACAAGGTGCGAGAATATTTGAGCTGGTCGGTCATTTCAAGGAAATCTTGGGAGAAAGTTTTTGGGAAGCAATGGGGTGTAAAAAATGGGGGAAGCAGAAGAACAGGTCGGGGGAAAAGAATGGGGATAGGACAGCTGGAAAGGATGTGAGAACAGGGTGGAGGAAAATGATGGGGGAAAAGGATGCATGGATTATGGAGATGATGGCACTGACAAGGGTCATGCATGCTTGAAGACACGGTTGCCATCAGGTCACCCATTATGCATGCCATTGCCAGTGCCATCATCTCCATGCCCCATGCATCTAGATCAACGTCTACCACACTTGTTATACCCCTCTCAACAAGCCTCCCTTTTTCTCTTTACGGACCTCTCTTTCGCTTCTCATAATCCTCTATTATCTCCTCCCATCCCTCTCTTCCCGCTCGCCCCACCTTCATGTGCGCCATAATGGGAGCCTTGATGGTAATTGGCGCGGCCATGTGGTTCTTGTGTGCCCTCACATCTCGATGTAGGTGTGACTATTGAAATTTCTCAAAAGCCACACCAACATAGCTGGCCATGTGGTCATTGTGCGCCCTCACAACCCAGTGCAGCCCAGCACTGGCATGCAGAAGAATTGCAACCCAGTGCTGTCACACCCCTCTCCTCACAAGCGCCTCTCTTTCTCTCCTCGCACTCGCCCCACCTTCATGTGCACCATGATGGAAGCCTTAATGGCCATCGACGTGGCCATGTAGTCGTTGTGTTGTGCACTCCTCCCAGGAATGCGAATCCCAGTGTTCTCATCCTGATGCCTCACTAGCCTCCCCAGAAACCTCTCTCTCCTCCCACGCTTCTCTCCTCGCACTCGCCCCACCTTCATGTGCGCCATGATGGAAGCCTTGATGGCCATCGACGTGGCCATGTGGTCGTTGTGCGCCCCTCCCAGCGGCTCCTGAAGCCGGGAGGAGGGAGAGACGGGAAACACGGTGGGGAAAGAAGAGCGAAAGCGAGGGGTTAAAGAAAAATAAGAGAGGGGTTGAGGGGAGGGACGGGGGTGTGGAGAGGGGCGGAGAGGGGGGAGACGGAGGGGAGGGGTTACCAAAGTGCTAAGCAATGGGAAAGAAATAAAGGAGGGGAGACAGAGTAATGTGGCGGACAGCATGAGGGCGAGCGAAGGACAGCATGAGGAAGGGAGAATGACAGAGGGCGAGCAAAGGACAGCATGAGGGCGGGAGAATGACAGAGGGAGAGCGAAGGACAGCATGAGGGCGGGAGAATGACAGAGGGCGAGCGAAGGGCAGCATGAGGGCGGGAGAATGACAGAGGGCGAGCGAAGGGCAGCATGAGGGCGGGAGAATGACAGAGGGCGAGCGAAGGACAGCATGAGGGCGGGAGAATGACAGAGGGCGAGCGAAGGACAGCATGAGGGCGGGAGAATGACAGAGGGCGAGCGAAGGACAGCATGAGGGCGGGAGAATGACAGGGTGAGAAGACAGCGCACCTGGATGATCTCATCCACGACGCCCAGCTTCTGCAGCTGGTCCGCTGTGATGCCCAGCGCTGATGAAGGTTAGACAAGCTCGATTTGAGTGCCGCGAATTCGTGCTAGTCTTGAAAGGGGAGAGAGAGCGGAAGGAAGGGCAGCATACGTACCTGGATGATCTCATCCACGACGCCCAGCTTCTGCAGCTGGTCCGCTGTGATGCGCAGCGCCTCCGTGGCCTGGTGGGTGGTTGGTTGGTGGGGGTTGATGTGGAGACGAGCAGGGAGAAACACAGGGAGGGAGAGAGAAAACGATTGACAGGTGGAGCAGAAGCAGCAGCGAGAGCAGCGCCCAGCTGCTGCAGCTGGCCCGCTGTGATGTGCAGCCCCTCGGTTGTCAGCTGGTAGGTTAGTTGATTGGTGGGATGGTGGCGAGAGGAGACAAGCACAGGGGGCAGAAACAGAGCGATTGACATGTCACACAGAGGCGGCAGAGGGAGGGAGCAGCGGGAGCAGAGGGAAGGAGCAGCGAGAACAGCGAGAGCAGAGGGAACAGAGGGAAGGGGCAGCCATGGGTTGAAAGGCTACCAAGACAAGGAGGTCCACTGGTTGGTAAAGGGGAGTGATTTGAAAACAGTATCCGGTTTCATATCCCTGGACGAAACTAGATTCATGTGCTCTGTGTCAGAGATGCATCAGGTTCGGTTCGGATCGGTTCGGTTTGGTTTGGTACAGTCAGGTTCGGTTCGGTGAGCAACTCACCTTGGGAGCGGCAGCAGCAGTCTTCCAAAGAATGGCTGCACACGCCTCAGGGCTGCAGATGGGATGGTGAAATCAGACGCATGCATGGATGCGTTCAATCATGCAGGCATGCACACATACACATACACACGTAGTCGCATGTATGCACGTATTCACATGCATGCACGTAGTCACATGCATGCACGTAATCACATGCATGCACGTAGTCACATACACATCACACATACACAATCATACACGCACCGCAGCGAACAACAAAAGGGGGGAGGTTCGTCAGTGGTTGCGAGGGGGAAGCGAAGTGGTACTCTGGCTGACTCATTCCCTGTGACTATACCATTTTTCAGATTCTCAAATAGTGTAGGTGAATGTATATCATAACGGGCCCCTTAGAACATGTGCAACGCGTTGTGTAGCAGTCAATAAACTGCTGTCCAGATTATCTCGAGAAATATTCAAACAGTCAATGCTGAGGACGCTGGTGCAAAAAGGAAAGACTCTTACCTGGCAACAAAGTAAACGGCGTTCTCGAGCATGAGCATCTTGTTGCAGCAGCCAATAGCGAGAGCGCCACCAGAGCCGCCCTCCCCAATCACCACACTGACTGACGGCACCTTGAGCCCAAACATCTCCCTCAGGTTGTGTGCAATGGCCTCGCCCTGGAAAGGAAAAAGGGAAACGGGAGAGGGGAAGGAAATGCTGAAGGGAAGCAGAGGCAAGAAGCACGACCACACTGACTGACGGCACCTTGAGCCAAACATCTCCCTCGGTTAGTGTGCAAGCGGAACGGAAGGGAACGGGGAAGGGAGCGGATGCGTGGAAAGGTGGAGGCAGGAAGAACGACCACACTGACTAATTGCACCTTGAGGGAGAAGCGGGAGAGGAAGGGTTTGAGGGGGGAGTGAAAAGGTGGGATGTTGGAGTGGGGGTAAGTCGAGTGTAGGGTAACTTATAGGGGAAGGAAAAACACAGTGCTGGTCGGGAAGCATGACATCTCAGGTGCTGTACGCGCACAGGGAACGACACTTTCGCCAGTCCATATCACCCCAAATAACCCACATCACGCGTCCAACGAATGCTTATGTAATCTTCTGAAACGCCCCTCCCTTCTCCGAACTATTTGCGATGTGATTCCAGTGTGCCGCCAGGCATGTCAGCGACATCCCCTGACGTGCAGGGTGGTATACCACCCTAAAACGCCCCAAAACGCCATCTCACATGTCTAACCTACCCGAAATGCCGTCTCACCGGTTCAAGACGCCCTCTCCCTCACCTGTCCGAGCTCCTCGGCCGTGACGCCAGCGTACGCGCCGGGCGTGTCGACGAATGTGATGATGGGCAGCCCGTGGTGGTCCGCGTGGCGCATCATGCGCAGCGCCTTGCGGTACCTGATGCGCGGGTGGGGGAAGGAGAGGGGGAGGGAGGAGAGTCACAGTGGGGAGGAAGGGGGTGAAGCGGGATAGCAGTCAACAATTGAGGTTCAGTAACGGGTGGTGGTCCGCGTGGCGCATCATGCGCAGCGCCTAGCGCAAGCGCGGGGGGGGGGGGGGGGAGGGTGTGGGGGAGGGGAGAGGGAATGGACCGCGCGGTAGCGTTTAACAGCTGAGAAATAACTCGGCGGAGATTTGGCACAAGTGACCATAGCAAGCACAAGAGCCAGAAGAGACAAGAGTGAATTTGGATGCATTGGCTGCTGCTGATTGCTGAATTCGTAGCAGGCGGGTGGTTTCAGAAAATGCTGCTTGCCTGGTAGTCCAGGTGTGTGTGTGCGGATTGTGGAAGGCACGGAAAACTGGCCTTTCCACCGTAGTGCAACACAGTGGACCGTACCAAAGCGCTGCAACGAGAAACATAGGTAGCGCGCTGGCCACCGCGCTCGCCCGCGGAAATGGAGCGAGATGAAGCACGCCGTTGTACATGCAGGAGCATTCCGCGTCAACCCGCGTACACGCCACGAGAGTCAGCTAGGACATTCGCGCAAGCGCTGACCCACGCACGCCAAGTATACAGCAGCCAGCAGGCGTTCGCCTGGACTCTCACTCTCCCTCCTTCCCGCCCTCCCGCCCTCCCTCCCCCCCTCCCTCTCTCTTTCCTTCCCTTCCTCCTTCCCTCCCTCCCTCCCACCCTCCCCATCCATTCGTCTCCCTCTGTCTCTCTCGTACCCGTTGGGTGTGGGCATGCCGAAGTTGCGGTAGATGTTCTCCTTGGTGTTGCGCCCCTTCTGGTGCCCCATGAACATGAAGCTCATGCCGTCCATGCGCCCGATCCCACACACCAGCGCCGGGTCGTCGTAGCCGCCGCGGTCGCCGTGCAGCTCCACCCACTGCGGGAGGGAGGGGGGGCGGGGGGGGATGGCGGGGAGGGCAAATAAGAGTGCGGTGATGGGAAAGTGCGCGGAAGGGGAGATGTAGGAGAGCCAGGTCGTCGTAGGCCCCGCGGTCGCCGTGTAGCTCCACCCACTGCGGGAGAGGCGGAGGAAAGGGGAAAGGCGCGCGGAAAGAGAGGAGGAGGTGAAGATTGCGCGCGCGGTGAGGCCGGAAGGAAAACTGCACGGAGAGGGGAGACTGGAGGCGGGTCGTCGTAGCCCCCCCGGTCGCGGTGCAGCACCACCCAGTGCGCATGGGGATCATTGAGCACGGAGTGGGGCAAGGGGAAGTGCGCGGAGGGGAGGACGGGGAAAGTGTGCGAGAACGGTGGGGAAAGAGTAAACGGTAAGGAGAAACGTCAGGAGAGAATGAAGAGTGGAAGTAGGAATGAAAGGATTGTCGTAGCTTCCGCGGCCGCCGTGCAGTTCAGCCCAGTGGGGGCGGAAGAGGTAGTAGAGTACGCGGAAAGAGGGACAGCAAGCGAAAGATGTAATAAATTATATGCAAGAGTAAAGGAAAAACGAAAGAGCGAGGCGGAGAGCAAGAGGCGGCGGGGGGGTACGTAGGACAGCGGTCAGAGGGGAAGCACGATAAGCATCTGAGCATAAGCACAAAATCAGTATGATTGAAAGCATGGACATTAGGGAAAAAGGAAGCCGAAACAAGAGCGACGATGGACAAATTGGTTCTGATGAGGCAGCGGTGGTTTTACTAGAGTCGCAAAACAAGATAGGAACGTGTGCGGGAAGATAGGCCTACCTTATCGGTCATGTTGAGGACATGGTCCAAGAAAGTGGGGCGGTTGGGGTGACGCGCCACGCTGAGCCGCTGAACCGGAGTTATTCTCGCGTAAATGTCGCGCTTCAGCTGGAGGAGCGGAGATAGCGAGGCCGAGGGAGGGGTAGAGAGAGAGAGAGAGACAGCCGAGAATGGGAGAAGGGAATACGGGATTGAAGGGGAAGGGCGACGGGTAAGCACCCAGTTCCGAAGTGCTAAGCCAACAATTAATAGATAGCAGGAAATAGGAAACAGAAAAAGGGGAAGGCACAGCGCGGCTCATTGAAAATCTAACAGTTAATTTCCCCGTAATCGTTAACTGATTGGTCACGATTGTCTCACCTGCTCGTACTTGTCCTGCAGCTCCTGCACCTGGTCCGTGAAGTCCATGCCAGTCTTATCCGCCAGCTGGCGCACCTGGTGAGGCACACAACAACATTCACAGTCAGTCACAATCGCATATATAGAGCCGTCACTGGAGAAGAATGGGACTCGTGGTGAGAGGAAGGGAATGGATGGAATAAGATGACGCGTGAAAATTTTTCAATTACGAATTCTAGTATACGCAAAATTCACCGCGCGACCCTGTCAGCTACTACGAGGTGCGGTTTAAGAAAGGGGTTGGAGCCGGCCGAAGCAGCAATCTGACAAACGCTGGAGGTTTTTTCGCGGTACATGGCTGCAAAGGTTCCAGCATCAGCGAACCCCCGGTCAATTTCACGCCGCTTTCTAGAATCAATAATCTATATACCTCCTCAATTTTCTTCTCGAGGTCGACCAGTGGTTTCTCGAACGGCAGTGCCATCGGCTTGGTGGGCTTGGCTTCGTCCTTGAACTTGGACAGGAACGCCAGTGCTCCCTTCTCCTCCACATTGTACTTATCTGGCCACGGGTAGTCTGGGTCTCTCGGAGCTCTCTTAGTCTTCAGGATCTTGGCCTGGATCTGCAGCTTCTGCGGAGCAGAGCCTCCTGGCAAGATCTGACCAGCTGGAGAAGCCTTGGGGATTGGTAGGCTAACGGAATTTGAGCTCCTTAGGGATTGTCCGAGAGCATCGCCGTGAAGGGATCGAACGGCGGGGAGTTGCGAGGCAGCACGGATCGGCGAATACACCGACATGGCTTCCATTTCGGGTGTTCAGCAGAGTAACACTTGGAACTCAATGACCTAGGAGCTGTGGCTCGTTACCAGTGTGAACTCCGCAAAATCGGTTTCTCTGAACACCCAATTTCCACAGTTCAGTCAAACACCAATGAATCAGGAAACGATCAGGGGCCAGATCGTTTGAAATGGGAGTTTCAGAGGACGGAGAAACAGAAGGGAAGGACTTGGTCGAGGAGTGAGAGGAGGGGGGGTCCCAAGGTTCGGCAATCCCAAGAGCCTCCGTCTGTCCTCTTCAGTATCAGAGGTTCAACCTCTTGGTGTAACCGCAGCACCAGCTGTTCTTTGAGGCGGGAAGAGGGAGGAGAGATCGAGGGAAGGGGAATGGCCAGGAATTGACAATGGGCGTTGCTGACGGTTGGATGACAGGAGATTGTCTCTTGGCCCTTGGATTCTTCGTCAGATGAAGCGATAACGAAGCCAGCCTCTTGGGAAACACGCGGGGCGACAAAATCCACGACAGTTGACTCGTGCGACAGGTCATATCTTCGTTTCGGAAAGAGTGATATCGAGATCTGGACCATTGAATAGTAAAAGGGATGCTTTTCGAGATTGCGACGTGATGAAGTGGCTGGATCTGACCAACCACGTGGCAGGCTGATAATCGGGCCCAGGCTAGGTGCGAAACAGATTTTCATGTTTAAAGCCTCAAACCGCTAATGATTCATGCTCGTGGAGTTAGAACAAAGATGCAATGCACATGTTACCTATTTGAAGAGTTGAGTATATAAGAGCATTATATCAATAAGCAGGAAGACACTCTCTAAGGTTTTTTTTTCACTCCCAGATCTCTATGATTATTTAGAATGTCATTGTATAGCATGGAATTTCTAAATTCGCATAACGGTATACCTCTACTCTGAGTACATCAATTAATAGATTTTGTTTAAGGAACATGCTTACAAAGTGACAATGCCCTCCCACCTTCAGCATTGATTGTATCCAAGCAGAAGCGTACACGTTTCCGTCTGTAGTAAACTATCGCCCAATAAACGCCGAACAATTCCCTTGAAGCCGCCTGACTCAGAACGGTTGTCCAATCATAGAGCAATGCCAGCACGGACAGCAACCAGAGATTCCTTCCTACCTACTCCTTCAGGGCGCTTCCCCTCCAGCCCAGAGGGAACTTTTGAATAATTCACCATTGAAGTATCGCAACCGCGTAGAACCAGAGTTTCTTGTAGCCAACCAGATCGCACCGAAATTGAACGTGGATTGATCCTAGAAGTAGCAGCAACTGTAGAGGCAATCAAGTGCAAGGTTTGCAGCCCATGCCTGCTCTTAACTAGCCTATGCCTGCCCCCGTGCGAATCCGTCGACCGTCCTGAGGCCAGTTTGCTCTCGTCTGTCGCACTTGATTCGTGGCCTTCTTTGGCGGGCTTAGAGCCTCAATAGGTGTCTATCATTCGGACGCTTGCGGTGCGGAACGTTTGCAGAACATCTTCAGCCAGCGATTCTGAAAAATAGACCCATTGGTACCAACTAGCTATTCAGAATGACTGTCGCTGGTAGAGTTCTTCCGCTTTTCAGGCGGATGATGTCCACGTCAGCGGCACCAGTGCCTCGAAAAGTGACGGTTTTGGGAGCTGCTGGCGGCATTGGCAATCCGTTGAGCCTGCTGCTCAAAATGAATCCGCTTGTAACGGATCTGGCCCTGTATGACGTCACGGGCATGCCTGGCGTAGTTGCTGACCTCAGCCACATCTGCACGAGAACCAAGGTGATTGGATCTCGAACAAGAGTCACTGATCCTCTTAGAGACATCTTACTTGTCAGCCATGTCTGCACGAGAACCAAGTGATTGGACCCAGAACCAAAAGCCACTGATTCCGAAACGATCAGGTGCATCCATGTCACCCACAACCTGTCCACTGGCATTTCACTTACTGATCAGCTCACCCGTCCTTCGCTGCGAGCACCCATTCCTGGCTCTGTCTTTCTTCCATACACTCAATTCATGTAACTTTCTGACGGGGTGAGCAGCTTTTAAAACCATAAATTATGACTTCGCTCCGAGACACCTCTAAGGTGCCTAACTATGAACCTGCATTTTCCCTTTTCTGATCTCCACTGCCAGGTCAGCAGCTACCTCGGGCCGTACGAGCTGCCGGACGCGCTGCGGGGGTCGCACGTGGTGCTGGTGCTGGCGGGAGTGCCGTACCGGTCGTTCATGAACGACGACGACCGCTTCTGCATGAACGCGGGGATCGTGCGAGGGTTGTGCGAGTCGATCGCCAAGCATAGTCCAGAGGTATGGGCTCTTGAAATGCGTGACGGAAAGGAGGGCCATGGCCCACTGGTCGTGCATGAAGGACGAAGCTTGCTGAGATTTCTGAGTCGACTCACAAGTCAGCTTGCTGAGATCGTGAGGAGTTTGTGCCGAATCGATTGCCGAATTGATCCATGGAGAAGGGGAGTGCCGTACTGGCCGTCCGTCCTCGAAGGACGAGGGCTGACCACTTCTGCGTTGCGAGTCCATTGCCAAGCCCAGCCCACAGGTACGGGCTTTGGAAATGCCTCAACACGGCAATGCGGTACTGATCGTCACTCCAGGCAGTGATTCGGGTGATTATTAACCCTCTCAACGCCACGTCCCTCTCCCTTCTTTTTCACTGATTGAGTTCCCTTTTCCCCCCTTTTTCCCTGCCCTCCTCGCTGTCTTCACTACTCCAGGCGGTGATAGGGGTTATCACGAACCCCCTCAACGCCACGGTGCCGATAGCAGCAGAGGCCATGGCGGGAGCAGGCAGGTACGACGCGAGGCGGCTGTTGGGAATCACGTCGCTGCACGGTGTGCGAGCCAGAGCTCTTCTGGCTGAGGCAACGGGGCTGAGGGCGACAGGTGAGAGAGACGTGGGGGGGGGGGAGAGCATGGAAGTACATGAAGCAGTGGCTGTTGGGAATCACGTCGCTGCACGGCGTGCGAGCCAGGGCACTTCTGGCTGACGCAACGGGGCTGCAGGCCACAGGTGAGGGAGATTTGAAAGGAAGAGACCAGGGAAGGGGCGAGAGCAGGAAATCACATGCACAAGTGGCTGCTGGGACGGGAATCACGTCGCTGCCAGAGCTGGCGGAGGCAACGTGTCTGAAGGCTACAGGCGAGAGAGAGAGAGAGGCGCAAGGTGAGAGGAAAGAGAAGAAAATGGCATAACACCTGGATTTTCCAAAAAAACACCCTGAATGATCAAACCACCCTGCACTCTCAAAACACTCTTGATTCTCAACAACACAACACCCTTCAATTTCGTGGGCGAGCAACAACATGGCTGGTAATGACGTCAGCGCTGGTGGGAGGCAGGGGCCGTGACATCTCGGGTTAGGTGTTGGAGTGGGTGGGGGCGTGCAGCGTTGAAAGGAGTACCAATTCAGGAGTATGAGGAGGGCGAGTAGCAGAACTTAGTGACGCGTCTTGAGGAAATTCCTTGGCATCAACGGAATCATCATTTTTGGATTCAGGATTTTGTGCTGCAGAATTTTGGGTTTCTGCATTTTGTGATTCAGGAGTTTGGGATTCAGGATTTTGAGATTCAGAATGTTGCTCCCTAGCTTTGCATTTCTCTGTGCATTGCCGTCCGTTCCATTCTCACCCCACATTTCCCCTCCACACCCGGGTTCTAGGGTTCACGTGGCTTCGTCCTTTGCTTTTCTCCCTCGTCCCATGGGCACCAGGCCCCATTCGTCTGTTCCATCATCCTCCCTCCGCCTATGCATCTGCCTATTGAGGTGCCCACAAGTCGTTCCGTGATGGGCATCTGCCTATTGAGGTGCCCACAAGTCGTTCCGTGATGGGCATCTGCCTATTGAGGTCTCTCTCTGCCCGAGCACCTGACGCCTTTTTCTTTATCTAATCGTGTCATGTGACCGCTATAACTTGCACTTTCCACTCTTCTCACCCATCCGTTTCAGATCTGTCAGTGCCCGTGGTGGGAGGCAACAGAGACAACACAATAGTTCCTCTCTTCTCACAGGTGTGTCTGTATGTCCTTCTCGTGCTTTAAGTTATAAGATGGCTCAAAAGAATCGAGCCGACTCGGAAGTCGCCATTTTCCCTCTGTCCTTCATCCCTCCTTCCGCCCCTTGTCGTTCTTCTCTCTGCCTTGTCTCCCCATCTCTTTGGTTCTCGCCCCGGACCATCCCTTGCGTTTCAATGCGTGAGAAAGAGCAGGTGAAACTTGTTTAAAAGCACCTCCAGATTATCTCAATCCTCCTGACCCACCGTTGGTGGTCATTTTTTGTATTTCTTAAAAATGCCCCTCTGTACCTTCATCCCTCAGGTTTGTTTCACTCGACTTATTGAAATTCTCTCCATCCCTCTGCCCTTCACCTAGGCCATCCAGGAAGCTTCCCTGCATGTGGAGGAGCAGGTGAGGCGGGAGAAGGCCATTTTGTAGCCACCTCGTAAACTCCCTCTGTCCCTCTGTCCCTCTATCCTTCTGTCCCTCTATCCTTCTGTCCCTCTATCCTTCTGTCCCTCTATCCTTCTGTCCCTCTATCCTTCTGTCCCTCTATCCTTCTGTCCCTCTATCCTTCTGTCCCTCTATCCTTCTGTCCCTCTATCCTTCTGTCCCTCTATCCTTCTGTCCCTCTATCCTTCTGTCCCTCTATCCTTCTGTCCCTCTATCCTTCTGTCCCTCTATCCTTCTGTCCCTCTATCCTTCTGTCCCTCTGTCCTTCTGTCCCTCTGTCCTTCTGTCCCTCTGTCCTTCTGTCCCTCTGTCCTTCTGTCCCTCTGTCCTTCTGTCCCTCTGTCCTTCTGTCCCTCTGTCCTTCTGTCCCTCTGTCCTTCTGTCCCTCTGTCCTTCTGTCCCTCTGTCCTTCTGTCCCTCTGTCCTTCTGTCCCTCTATCCTTCTGTCCCTCTATCCTTCTGTCCCTCTATCCTTCTGTCCCTCTATCCTTCTGTCCCTCTATCCTTCTGTCCCTCTATCCTTCTGTCCCTCTATCCTTCTGTCCCTCTATCCTTCTGTCCCTCTATCCTTCTGTCCCTCTATCCTTCTGTCCCTCTGTCCCTCTGTCCCTCCGTCCTTCTGTCCCTCTATCCTTCTGTCCCTCTATCCCTCTATCCTTCTGTCCTTCTGTCCTTCTGTCCCTCTATCCTTCTGTCCCTCTATCCTTCTGTCCCTCTATCCTTCTATCCTTCTGTCCCTCTATCCTTCTGTCCCTCTATCCTTCTGTCCCTCTATCCTTCTGTCCCTCTATCCTTCTGTCCTTCTGTCCCTCTGTCCTTCTGTCCCTCTGTCCTTCTGTCCCTCTGTCCTTCTGTCCCTCTGTCCTTCTGTCCCTCTGTCCTTCTGTCCCTCTGTCCTTCTGTCCCTCTGTCCTTCTGTCCCTCTGTCCTTCTGTCCCTCTGTCCTTCTGTCCCTCTGTCCTTCTGTCCCTCTGTCCTTCTGTCCCTCTGTCCTTCTGTCCCTCTGTCCTTCTGTCCCTCTGTCCTTCTGTCCCTCTGTCCTTCTGTCCCTCTGTCCTTCTGTCCCTCTGTCCTTCTGTCCCTCTGTCCTTCTGTCCCTCTGTCCTTCTGTCCCTCTGTCCTTCTGTCCCTCTGTCCTTCTGTCCCTCTGTCCTTCTGTCCCTCTGTCCTTCTGTCCCTCTGTCCTTCTGTCCTTCTGTCCCTCTGTCCCTCTATCCTTCTGTCCCTCTATCCTTCTGTCCCTCTGTCCTTCTGTCCCTCTGTCCTTCTGTCCCTCTGTCCTTCTGACCCTCTGTCCTTCTGTCCCTCTATCCTTCTGTCCCTCTATCCTTCTGTCCCTCTATCCTTCTGTCCTTCTGTCCTTCTGACCCTCTATTCCTCTGTCCCTCTATCCTTCTGTCCCTCTATCCTTCTGTCCTTCTGTCCCTCTGTCCTTCTGTCCCTCTGTCCTTCTGTCCTTCTGTCCCTCTGTCCCTCTATCCTTCTGTCCCTCTATCCTTCTGTCCCTCTATCCTTCTGTCCTTCTGTCCCTCTGTCCCTCTATCCTTCTGTCCTTCTGTCCCTCTGTCCATCTGTCCCTCTATCCCTCTGTCCCTCTATCCTTCTGTCCTTCTGTCCCTCTATCCTTCTGTCCCTCTATCCTTCTGTCCCTCTATCCTTCTGTCCCTCTATCCTTCTGTCCCTCTATCCTTCTGTCCCTCTCTCCCTCTGTCCCTCTGTCCTTCTGTCCTTCTGTCCCTCTGTCCCTCTATCCTTCTGTCCCTCTATCCTTCTGTCCCTCTATCCTTCTGTCCCTCTGTCCTTCTGTCCCTCTGTCCTTCTGTCCCTCTATCCTTCTGTCCCTCTATCCTTCTGTCCCTCTATCCTTCTGTCCCTCTATCCTTCTTTCCTTCTGTCCCTCTATCCTTCTGTCCCTCTATCCTTCTGTCCCTCTATCCTTCTGTCCTTCTGTCCCTCTGTCCTTCTGTCCCTCTGTCCTTCTGTCCTTCTGTCCCTCTGTCCCTCTATCCTTCTGTCCCTCTATCCTTCTGTCCTTCTGTCCCTCTGTCCTTCTGTCCCTCTGTCCTTCTGTCCCTCTGTCCTTCTGTCCCTCTATCCTTCTGACCCTCTATCCTTCTGTCCCTCTGTCCCTCTATCCTTCTGTCCCTCTATCCTTCTGTCCCTCTATCCTTCTGTCCCTCTATCCTTCTGTCCCTCTATCCTTCTGTCCCTCTATCCTTCTGTCCCTCTATCCTTCTGTCCCTCTGTCCCTCTATCCTTCTGTCCCTCTATCCTTCTGTCCCTCTATCCTTCTGTCCCTCTATCCTTCTGTCCCTCTGTCCTTCTGTCCCTCTGTCCTTCTGTCCCTCTGTCCTTCTGTCCCTCTGTCCTTCTGTCCCTCTGTCCTTCTGTCCCTCTGTCCTTCTGTCCCTCTGTCCCTCTATCCTTCTGTCCTTCTGTCCCTCTATCCTTCTGTCCCTCTATCCTTCTGTCCCTCTGTCCCTCTGTCCTTCTGTCCTTCTGTCCTTCTGTCCCTCTGTCCCTCTATCCTTCTGTCCCTCTATCCTTCTGTCCCTCTATCCTTCTGTCCCTCTATCCCTCTATCCCTCTATCCTTCTGTCCCTCTATCCTTCTGTCCCTCTATCCTTCTGTCCCGCTATCCTTCTGTCCCTCTGTCCTTCTGTCCCTCTGTCCTTCTGTCCCTCTGTCCTTCTGTCCCGCTATCCTTCTGTCCTTCTGTCCCTCTGTCCCTCTATCCCTCTGTCCCTCTGTCCTTCTGTCCCTCTGTCCTTCTGTCCCTCTGTCCTTCTGTCCCTCTGTCCTTCTGTCCCTCTGTCCTTCTGTCCCTCTGTCCTTCTGTCCCTCTGTCCTTCTGTCCCTCTGTCCTTCTGTCCCTCTGTCCTTCTGTCCCTCTGTCCTTCTGTCCCGCTATCCTTCTGTCCCTCTGTCCTTCTGTCCCTCTGTCCTTCTGTCCCTCTGTCCTTCTGTCCCTCTGTCCTTCTGTCCCTCTGTCCTTCTGTCCCTCTGTCCTTCTGTCCCTCTGTCCTTCTGTCCCTCTGTCCTTCTGTCCCTCTGTCCTTCTGTCCCTCTGTCCTTCTGTCCTTCTGTCCCTCTATCCCTCTGTCCCTCTCTCCCTCTATCCTTCTGTCCCTCTATCCTTCTGTCCCTCTATCCTTCTGTCCTTCTGTCCCTCTCTCCCTCTGTCCCTCTGTCCCTCTCTCCCTCTGTCCCTCTGTCCCTCTATCCTTCTGTCCTTCTGTCCCTCTCTCCTTCTGTCCTTCTGTCCCTCTATCCTTCTGTCCCTCTATCCTTCTGTCCCTCTATCCTTCTGTCCCTCTATCCTTCTGTCCCTCTATCCTTCTGTCCTTCTGTCCCTCTATCCTTCTGTCCTTCTGTCCCTCTATCCTTCTGTCCCTCTCTCCCTCTGTCCCTCTGTCCTTCTATCCTTCTGTCCTTCTGTCCCTCTGTCCTTCTGTCCCTCTCTCCTTCTGTCCCTCTGTCCTTCTCTCCCTCTGTCCCTCTGTCCTTCTGTCCTTCTGTCCTTCTGTCCTTCTGTCCTTCTGTCCCTCTATCCTTCTGTCCCTCTATCCTTCTGTCCCTCTATCCTTCTGTCCCTCTATCCTTCTGTCCCTCTATCCTTCTGTCCCTCTATCCTTCTGTCCCTCTGTCCTTCTGTCCCTCTGTCCTTCTGTCCCTCTGTCCTTCTGTCCCTCTGTCCTTCTGTCCTTCTGTCCCTCTGTCCCTCTATCCTTCTGTCCCTCTATCCTTCTGTCCCTCTATCCTTCTGTCCCTCTATCCTTCTGTCCCTCTATCCTTCTGTCCCTCTATCCTTCTGTCCCTCTATCCTTCTGTCCCTCTATCCTTCTGTCCCTCTGTCCCTCTATCCTTCTGTCCCTCTATCCTTCTGTCCCTCTATCCTTCTGTCCCTCTATCCTTCTGTCCCTCTATCCTTCTGTCCCTCTATCCTTCTGTCCTTCTATCCGTCTCTCCCTCTATCCTTCTGTCCCTCTATCCTTCTGTCCCTCTATCCTTCTGTCCCTCTATCCTTCTGTCCCTCTATCCTTCTGTCCCTCTATCCTTCTGTCCCTCTGTCCCTCTATCCTTCTCTCCTTCTGTCCCTCTATCCTTCTGTCCCTCTATCCTTCTATCCTTCTGTCCCTCTATCCTTCTGTCCGTCTATCCTTCTGTCCCTCTGTCCTTCTGTCCCTCTGTCCTTCTGTCCCTCTGTCCTTCTGTCCCTCTGTCCTTCTGTCCCTCTGTCCTTCTGTCCCTCTGTCCTTCTGTCCCTCTGTCCTTCTGTCCCTCTGTCCTTCTGTCCCTCTGTCCTTCTGTCCCTCTGTCCTTCTGTCCCTCTGTCCTTCTGTCCCTCTGTCCTTCTGTCCTTCTGTCCCTCTGTCCCTCTATCCTTCTGTCCTTCTGTCCCTCTTTCCCTCTATCCCTCTGTCCTTCTGTCCCTCTGTCCTTCTGTCCCTCTGTCCTTCTGTCCCTCTGTCCTTCTGTCCCTCTGTCCTTCTGTCCCTCTGTCCTTCTGTCCCTCTGTCCTTCTGTCCCTCTGTCCTTCTGTCCCTCTGTCCTTCTGTCCC